TGGCCTTGCATGCCTCGGCTCTCATACTTAGCATAGTCAAATCCTTCAACTCTGATGCTGAAATTTGCCATTGTTTTTCGTTTTTCCCATAGGCATTGATCTCCTTTTCTCCAACCTTGCAAGTCACTTCCACAACAGCACCTGCTCCATGTGCAATAATATAAGGCAAAAATCATCTTAGCATCAAATTGTTGTTAAAAATCAACCAAATTTTGTAGCATCTAATTGTTGTTCAAAGAGATCTTACGTAAACTTCAAGAGCATATGACAAAGTTCAAAAATATTGAAAGTAACAAACAAAAAAAGGCTAATAAAAAATGCAAATATAAAATAGATCAATTAACAATGCATTAAAATTTGATACTAATGAATCAGAAGGTATAGAAAATTGTACCTTCGAGGTGTTTCCTGTCGTGTGACTTCTTGGATAACTCCAGTCATAGCATCTGTAGCAGTAACTCTACCAACTACCTTGACTATGAGTGGATGGTGGTGGGGGTGAGGGGCAGGGTAAATAAGGAGTTGGTGGTGGGGGAGATTTGTAGTAGTAAGGAGATTTAGGTGGTGGTGGTGGCGATTTGTAGTAGTATGGTGGTGAAATGTGATGTGGAGGAGGTGGTGGAGACTTGTAATAGTAAGGTCGTGGAGGAGATGGTGAAGGTGGTGGGGGAGACTTATAATAATATGGTGGTGGAGGAGACTTTACTGGAGGTGGTGGGGATTGTAGTAATAAGGTGGCGGTGGTGAGGGTGATGGAGGTGGTGGAGATTTGTAATAGTATGGATGAGGTGGTGATGGAGATGGAGGTGGTGGGGACTTGTAGTAGTATGGATGTGGTGGCGATGGTGAAGGAGGTGGTGGGGGATTTATAGTCAGTAAGGAGGAGGTGGTGATGGAGAATGGGGGGTGGAGGGAGGACTTGTAGTAGTATTGGAGGAGATTGGTTGTAGTAGTACTGGAGAGGAGGTGGGGATGGAGGATTGGAAGGTGGTGGAGACTTGTAGTATACGGAGGAGGTGGAGATGGGGATGGAGGTGGCTTGGAGACTTGTAGTATCATGGAGGTGGGGGTGGATGGTGGAAGGACGTGGTGGAGACTTGTAATAGTATGGAGGAGGTGGTGATGGAGATGGAAGGGTGGTGGAGATCTTATAGTAGTATGAGGGCTCTCTTCTTTGGTTTTGGGTGGTGGTGGTGGGGACTTGTACTCATAGAGTGGTGGTGGAGAAGGCGAGGGGTTGGCTGGAGGTGACTTAGTGCTCATAAGGTGGTGGTGGAGAAGGAGACGGTGGTGGAGGTGACTTGTACTCATAAGGTGGAGGAGGTGAAGAGTATGGATAAGCATCTGCAGACCCTGAACCTACATTGCTTGCAACAACAACAATGGCCAAGGCCATTAACATTTGGGGCCAACACCGACCCCCCCGCCGAACCATCATGGATGATCACTGAAGAACACCAAACTCTGCCAATGTGCTTAGACTTTCTTAGCGTTTTCTCTGTTTGGAAGGGGAGGAATGTGGAGAGGAAGAGGGGGGATTGGTTTCTGCTGAGATAAAACCTTGCATGAAATGATAGTATATATAGTAAAAATGGTGGTCGATGAAGAGCTGTCAGAATGGACCAAATCAAATTATTTTTTATTAGATTAATGCAGCAAATGGGGTTTTCTCTAGCTGGCTTCCCCAATTTTTTTAATCTAAAACTGCTTTAGATCATCAGGATTTCAGGATTCCCCCACCTCTTCATGCATGATCAGCCCAGAACTAATCCCTTTAATTTCCCAGTTGCAGAATCTTTTTACGAACAATTCCGATTTAATACGATATTTTATTAAAAATGATGTGTTATAATTTATATCGATAAAAAATTATAAAATTTTTATTTATTTTTATTAAATTTTAAATGTATCATTTTTAAATTATTTTTTATATTATATTTTAAATTATCAAAAGGCATAAAATAATTCAAAACTCTTTCAATATTCCCTTTCCAGTTTTTAACATTTCCAGGAATTCTAATTTTTCACATTGCAGTCGAGAAAGTGACCAAAGCTTCTGTTAACAAAGATCAAAGTCAGACGAGACAGGCAGTTCAAATTTACATAAATTTTTTTGAGAAATTAAATATTTTTTCATATGACCAATTAAAGAAAAAAATTATGGAAGAAAAAAAAATTCCAAAGAGATATAATTCAGGCCACCTGTTATGTTATTATTTTAGGTATTTTTTCTGGTTTCGGTGCTATTTCTCATTGGGATTTTTTTATTCTTCAAAATTGCACGTTTATGGCAAACAAATGCACGTTTATAGCCGGTAGCCACCTTCCATTCAATTGGAAATCTTCAATTTTTAATTTATTGAAGTGTTTTTCTTTATTTTTCTCTTATTCCATGTGCTTTCTCAATTATGAAGCAATGCCACGTGAAATTCAATCATGTGGCCCTGCAGCATTTTCACGAAATTCCAGCTTCCATCGAAAGAGAAAAAAAATGTTAAAA